GAGAGAAAGAGAGAGAGAGAGAGAGAGAGAGAGAGAGAGAGAAATCAATAAGATCCAAACCGTGAACGCTAGTTATGTATGCAGATAAACTGAAGTCAGTGGCCATCAATCGAAAACCAAAAGTTCAATGTACTTTGGGCAAAAGGTCTAGGGATATTGTTACTGAGAACTGTCTTATGCGGTGTAGTAGCGACATCCCATCCGAAAAAAAAGAGAAACCAGAGAGAGGGTAAAAACTCTTTCTGGAGATACTCGACAAAACTTTTCCCCACTTGCGAATGGAAGTCGGGCATTCTTTGTACAACAGCGAGGTGTTTTATATAGCCGCTACACCACGGACGCTGGTTGCTGATACAGCTGTATTAATAAACAATGTCACCAAAGGGAGAAAATCTGACTAGAGAATGAGATATCAGTGATTTGTGATCACGACCGAGAGCACCGAGGATTACGTCATGTCGTTTGTTTCTTCGTCCGTTTATTCACTTTAACACTATCATCATCAAGTGCCAGATCTGCGACAGACATGGGCGATCATGGTTCACGCTGCCATCATTTTTAAAAGTTCAGTGGACCCTATCTGCAGATTTTACAATTTTACTGGATAGCCTAAAAATCTGACTGTTGTTACCAAGAAAACAAAGTATTCGCTTTATAGATAATACGGCAGTTAGGATCAAAATTGTATTCTTAAAGATATTAACTTGGGATATTTGCAACGAGTTTTTGTTGCAGGGGTAACAATTGACATTCAGGTTGTTGTTTTTTGTTCTCCTGTATCATTGTAAAGACTGCATACACTGTACTTTTAAAATGAGAGCAGCACTATGGTCTCCGAAGAATCAACATTTCAGCTGCTTCTATTATATTTTGTCAATGTCTTTGGTGATGGTGCGGCGCATTGTCAGAGCCGAGTTATAATTATTCAGTGAGCCAACATAGTCGAATCGACGGTTGGCGAATGCTTTGGTATGGTTTGCTATTTATTCATTTATTACTTTCCTCCTCCTTTTCTCAAGTTCCTATCAAGTAACGCCCCTAATCTTCCGCACTTATTTGTGTTGAAAGTGCCGTAAAATTCTCTAAACTAAAACACTAAAAAAGCAATTATCTCCACTTCTATTCCCTGTTGAGAACACCGTAAAACGTAATGAAACAGCTGACCCGGCGCGGCGTTATACCAGGAGTGAACTTTGCACCTCTCGAGGTCTCAACAAACGGCCTTGCACAACCAGAACTGAAGGCTGTTACACTTTTCGAGGTCACCCACTCTACCCCTCCCCCCCCCCCCCCCCACCTCCCTTCCACACACACAAACACACGCACACACACTCTCTCTCTCTCTCTCTCTCACACACACACACACACACACACACACACACACACATACACACACACAAACACACACGCACACAAACACACACGCACACACGCACACACGCACACACACCTTAAGAATATTTATGCATGTTGATTCAGCCCCTGCCATGGCCCGTGCCCATTCAGGTGTTACAGGAAGAAACGAAAAAACGTGTGTGAAATAAACGGAACGTGTCCTTTTCTTCTCTGTCTAGTGGTTAGGCTACCGGACTCGTAATCGTGAGGTTCCGGGTTCGTGGGTTCGAGCCTCGCCCTCGATCATGTCCGACGTTGTGTCCTTGGAAAAGGCACTGAACACAAATTTTCCTCACTTCATCCTCGTGGAATGGATACCTGGCTACAGACAGTGAAAGATATCAGTATGTTAAATGTTAGTGTTTTAGCGCCTATGAAAATGACAGCTTGCACAATATGCTTCCCAGGAAGTTAAGATTGTTTCAGCATGCTATCAGGTCTGCTGGGGTAATAGTATAGATTGCAAAGCGCACGGAGCTTGTCTGTTGAGCGGGAATTTGCGCTATACAAACACTATCTTTTTCCCCCTTCTAAACTAGAATCTACCCCCAAACAGCGCGTTCCAAGCGCTGTTGAATAACAAAACTTACTACTCGTACGCGTGTACTTGTGGTTAAATGAACGTGCAGTCTGACGCCTGAGTGTCTTCAAGGTGTTAATGAACGAGCCGGGAATTGTCTGATTGTCACACACAAACTCACACACACACACACACACACACACACACACACACACACACACACTCACTCACACCCACCCACACACACACACACACACACACACACACACACACACACACAC